GAAGGCAAGCGGGCGGATGGCATTCCGACAAAATTTATTTAGCGGAATTGTGCGCACATAGACCCAGAGAGATTAATTGAAGTTATTTAATCCGAATTGCTGATTCCGGCTCGTATCCAGAAACGTGGAGTACGAGCTATCCTTCAACCGATTTTTACAATAAAGGGCGATGCGAATTGCCAACAAAATTATCGCGGAATTAGTCTTTTGCCAAAAGCGCTTTTGGAAGCAAACTGTTTCTGTAAAATTTACTCTACGCGAGCGACTGGTGAGATGCGGCAGAAAAGTACTAGGTAAGGTAAAATATCAGAATTGCAAGCAGCTTTTAGGAGAAGGCTTCGCGACAACCGACAATGTAATTTGTGTAAGAACCGTAGTACGAAAATCAGTATTTCTGTACGGAAAAGCAGAATAAAAATGGATTCAAGAATATTTACGGATTAATTAATAGGACTGGGTGTCATGTTGGGACGGAACATGGAGGAAATATGGAATTTCATTCAAGAGCTATTTTTAACTGCTCGCCTGATTTTTTTGTTCCAGCCAAAATTATCAAACAGAACAGCGATCCTATATACTACACGTCAAAATATTAAGAGATTAAAGAGAAAAGCAGGAAAGCTTATGGCAAACGTAAAGAGGGATATTCAATTAGTGAATTAGAATACAGGCTATTGTCAAAACGTTGAATGCAGGAGAAACGAAACAGCTCAGAGTAAATTCTTCCTGTAAAATACTAAGTAATGAACGACAGTGCAGGGTTCTATAAATACGTAAGGCAGCAAAGGTTGGCGAACAAGGCAATTCTATACCTGCGATTAGAATATAAAAATAAATGTTGTGTGACAGATCAGGAAAAAGCAGAATGTTTAATTGTATTTTCAATTAGTTTTTGGGGAAGCGTAGGTCATTCCGAAATTTACTGAGCCAAACGAAAGCCGAGAGTTTTCCAGGTTACAGTCAAGGATTATTCGCAAGCGGATACAAGCATAGGAATGAAAACAAATCAGTTAGAGTCGATGTCATTTCAGGAAAACTATTAAAATAGGGGGGGAACCAATTATTACATATTTGGACACGATATTTGAAATCAGTTGTCAACAATTGCAAGCGATTCCTCGTGATTGCGAAAAGAGCTATTGTGCCGTGCCGATTTTTAAAAGTGGAAAATCGGCCACTGCCCGTCTCTAAACTATAGACCTGTGAGTTTAACCTCTGTCATTTGTAAGCAAATGGACATCTCATAGCTGAGTATTGCGAAATGAATGGGGCAAATTAGGATGCGCTGTATGGAGGCCAACATGGCGTTCGTAAATAAAATCGACAGTAGGAGTAAGACAGGGGTGTCCTCTTTCACCGCTGCTGTTTATCTTATTTATAATTGATTTATTGACGTGGGTACAGGAAGAGGATATAGTGGCTCCGGTAATTGATGGCTTGAAAATTTCCGGACTACTTTATGCTGATGATTTAGTCTTATATTCGGAGACGATTGAGGGCTTACGGGAGAGTTTAAATATTCTATAACGGTATAGTGAGACATGGGGACTAAAAGTAAATATTCAAAAAACGAAAGTAGTGGTCTTCAAGAATGGGTTTATCTGGGGTAGCAAAGAGAAATGGTACTACGCTAGGGAAGAAATTGACCGCGTCAAAACATTTACGTATCTTGGTGCAAATTTTTCCATGAATGGGGGATGGAATAATCACATATTGACGGCTCACAGTAAAGGAAGAATTGCGCTCAAAGAAATCGTTTGCGCAGTGCGCAGGGTTCTGGAATTGTCGGTAAAAGTGTGCGATACAATTTTCAAATCGTTAGTTCTGCCCGCTATGAACTATGGGGCAGAAATCTGGGGAGTGGATAGGATAGATCGACTAGAAAGCATCGAAACAGATTATTTCAAATTAATTCTATTAGTTTCTAGATGCGCAGCAAAGGCCGGAGTTTTAAGAGAGGTCGGTAGTATAGAAATTTGGATCGATTTTAAAATGAAACCTATTAAACTTTGGATTAAATTAGCAGAATAACAGGCTGACACACTTATACATAGGTGCTTTAGAGTGCAATGGTAGGGAAGAGACCATCGCTACTGGGCGTACAAAATTAAACGGCTACTTGACCGCGCAGGGTTGGGAGATGTCTCTCCGGAAATGGTGGGAGGTAGAAAGGCTGATTTCCGATAGACTTGCGGATATTAAAAGGCAAGAGATCTGGGCAGCAACGGCTGAAAAACGTTCGCTAGTAGCTCAAATCCATGCGAGTTCGTTATGGGGTTTCGAAAGTTACGTTCATACTCTCGGAAAGGACGCAAGAGGGGGATACGCTTGGTTCAGGGTTGGGGGATGGATGCAGCGTAGACTAAAGGACGCAAGTGGTAATGGCATCTGTGTGCTTTGCGGTGATAGGGAAGACTGGATCCACATCCTCTTAATTTGCTGTGCAACCGAATCATGGAGAAGAAAATGGATGGGAATGGGAAATTACTACTTCCTTATCAGGAACGTAACGCTCGCCCAAAACATTTTAGGTGATAAAAGGTCTAAATTTATGAAAGAATAAGGAACATTTTTAGGAAAGGTTTGGACCATTAGGGAGTGGGAAAACAGAACCGGTTAGCTTGAGCGGAGCCTAGACTGGAGAAAAATAAATAAGCAATAATAAAAAGTCAATAAGCTAACAATAAGTAAGTTAATCAGTAATTTTATGTTAAGTTCCTTATGGTCTCCTATCTTATATCATTATGTAATAAATTTCTTTACTATTTGTAGAAGAGGCTTTTAAATATTTCTAATACTGATAGTAAAAGAATAACTAGCCTAAAATTTTCAGATTTGAAATATTTTGACTGTGGGCTCCTCGGACAGACATTTAGACTGACAACAGATATTTAGACTGGCTCAAGATCAGAGTGCAAGCTTTCTTTGATTCGGCCTCAGGTACGATTCCCGGCTGATGAAAATATTAAGCTATATCTTTTATTTTAAGAAAATTGAGAAAAATAGAATGAGAAAAAAATAATCTTATCTAATATAAATCGTTTCTGTTGCTCTGTGTGATGAAAGCAAAATCTTATTCAGGCAAAGAAGGCTGTGTACGGTGATGAGAGGGTGTCATGTTGCCACAGGTCTGCGTTCCTCGCAGGTAAGAGGTCAGGCCTGGGATCACCGCTAGTTGTGAAATGTAGGATTAATCCGATCATGAAATGGCATGTACATACAAGAAATTAGGTTTTGGAATCGGTACAGTTAGCTTGTATTATTGATGGTCTTACGGTCATCTTAAGTAAGTTAGTAAATTAAGAATTTAACCTAATCCAAAGCAGGCGCTGAAAATAGCTGTTCATGAACTTATGATAGGATAGGCATTTAGCAAACGATTAGTAATTTCAACTAAAACGGGTGGCGGAGGTGATGTTGCTAAGCAGACTGTAAATTGTCAGTTGTGACTATTTGGCATATCAATAACCGTCATTCTCTCTAACTCTTTTTTTACCAAAACGAAAGACCCCTTACAGAGAGAGCTATGAGACACGTATGGCTGAAATCGAATTATTTAGGTGAGGTGTCACCATTACTCAGTAATAAATAAAATCATTGAAATTAATACATATAATTAAAATGTAAAATCAACATTACAAGGAGTTGATGAGCAATTTATGGTATGAATCACTGAATCAGCTGTGCAAAGGACACGAAATGTCCTTGTAGCTCATAATCATGAATCAACCTTTGCAAGGATACAAAAAATTGCAGATCATAATATTTGTAGATTGCCAGGATGTGCCTGTGGAAAGAAGTCATAGAAGATATATACAATACGGGTGAGTTGCTCCATCTTCTGGGATCGCAGACCCTGTCCGGTTGCGACCTGACGATTGCGTGGTGGGTGACACGCACGCCCACGCACGCACACCCACGCACCATCCGCAGTCACACGCTCGGACAAAGGATTTTGCCTGAGTTGTCATGATACACAAACTCACGTAAAGAGTTAAAGACCATGTAGATGAGCTTGATGAAAGACATAAGTAATTGAATATATTGTGCAATATGCAATCATCGATTATGAGCTGGGGTGAATGCAGTTACGTACCACAGGCATCGTTTTATACACTGCAACAGTTGAATGTACTTACCAGAAGTGGAACTAGTTCTGCCACACACAAGACAGTCTTGGCAAGTCATTAAATTAACAAAATAACTTTACTACACAAATGGAAATATGTACACTACCCACAATAAGATTACATTGATCACGTTGCACTGAAAACATATTAAACAGTTAGAACACTGCCTTGTAAAGGCGTTGGGTCTGAGGCAACGGGCACATGTACTGCCTCCACGATGTTGTGGCGTTAACAGGTTGTGTCGCGCAAATGACGGTCTACCGTTCGTTCTTGGCGCACTTTTGGGGCCTTTAGCCAATAGGAAAGCGTCTTACAATGAATTGTACATAATGAACCAAAGTAGTTGTCATTAATTAATTAAATGAAATATAAGATTGTGGAGTAAATTTAAATTGTAGTAATTATAGCCGTGTGAGGGCACGTGCGGCTGTAGGCGAGCTCCAAGAAACAATCAGGTAAAGCGGGGTAGGGGAAGATTCTGAAAAATGCCTAGACATCAGTACCTGCTCCCTCAGGCCCACATCCGCTTGCAAGAGTTACAGATACAAACAGTTGTACATGTTTTATGAAAATAATTCGTACTAACACCCGACTGCATTGATATACATGAGTGAAGATAAATAATTAAGGTTATAAAATAAATAGCTTGCGTGCCCAAATTCAGGGTGCTCTTATGTTTTGAAAGTTTCCTTCTAAACCATTTAGTCACTCATGGCGATATGAATTTAAATTTTATTTATACAAGAAATTTTACATTTGTGGCGATACTTCAATGAAGATTACTTTAAGGGGACGGGTAGGGAAAGAGAACCGCGCGTGAATCGAGGCCATCGCCGGGAATCGATCGGAGGACACTTGAGAAACTGATGTCCAGGAGTGATGGCTCCGAGCATCATCTGATGTCACTGCAGTGCCTCTGACTGAGAGAATCCTAGGTTCGAATCCCGACGGTGGCAGAATTTTTGACATTAGCTGAATAGTTCGATCGAGTTCAGTCTTGTAGATTTTTTTTTGAAAATATGGGTAGTTTAACGTGATTTTTGAAAATCTTAGTAACTGCAATTTCTTTTTTCTCGCACTACTTTTGTTTTCGACCGGATGTTACGAACACATAGACCTTATTTTGGTCAAGGAAATGTTTCAATCATATGTTTTTTTTACTTCAAATAATTTCCTTATTGGAAGAAATCAATGACAATGTAATTTTGATATCATTTTATTGTTTTGTAAGAAATTTTGATATTTTCAGTTAACGAATTGTTGGAGAACTTTAGATAGCCTTTAGTGTTCATAGATAGACAAATAAAACCGTAATATACGAGCTCTTTACATTTAGGGTGCATCGTGATTTGATGAGACTTCAGACATTAATGTTGTTTTGTGAAATGAACAGAAACGTACCAATTAAAAGTCAATGATGAACAATAGCAAGAAAAAAACAAAGTAAATAAACGATGGAACTACTTACAGTATATAGGATCACCGATGAGCATTCCCAAACAGCAATCGCATGGTAACACGTACCACGCCATCATGATAATGAAAATAATAATGAATGTATTACTGTAAGTTTCTAACTTTTGTTCACGAATGTGAGAATTATTGATTGGCACAGAAGTGGTTCTCAAAATCATATTGTTTGTATGAATCCTTCTAATAATGATTGTAATCAATAACGCAGTCAATTATCGCGTGTGTCGCAGCCGCAGCTGAACTTTGCCGCCGGAGGTTCATGCACGCAGTCCCCTAGAGTTCCAAGAAACCTGCAATTAGAGTTCATTCAGGAAATAATTTCAAACAATTCTCGTAATATTGCCAATGCTTCAAGCACGTTCAAATTTCATGTTCTTCATATTTGAAAATTGATGTCGGAAAATATACACTGCGTGAGTGAGAGACGTTTTGAGGGTATCAGCATGCATTTGCTGCATACAAGGGTGGATAATACGATCATGATTTGATGAAGAGACCAAAATACTACTGCTCTAAATGATATTTCTATTCGACAATAAGTTGAAGTTTTATTAGGGCACCTTTATAATGTATATACGTGATTGGAATTTTGTGTTGAATATTCGTCTTAACGGCTTGCCAATGGTGTTCCACATGCCTGAGTATAGTTTAATTCTCAGGCTTGGAAGGGGGTTAAGTGAGACTCGAAACAAACATGACGTATTCTCTTCCCTGCTTCTCTGTAACTCCGCCTTCCCGAGCATTTCGTAGTCACACATATACAGAAACCGAGACAATTTTAAAGGAAAGCAACAAATCTACTTTTTGCGCTGACCGGGAGTCCAGCCCGGCACCGCAGTGCGGGAAGCCCAGGCGCTGCCCTTGGCCCTCCCTCGCGTCGTCGGGCGGCGTCAACATCCTTCATTCTACCCGCCGGCGTAAGAACGAAATGGGAAGTTAAGCACTCATTTATTTACTACTATGAAGACATCGGTGAACGGTATGCTACATACAAAGCTACGACTCGTACTTGCAATAGAGGTAGACTCCCCTCAATCAAAATGTATTTTTCAAAAAGTAATTTACTATCGAAGTCGGAAGTATTGATATTTGCGACGAAACCTTATAAGGCGATGCGAAGCAAACTTGATGGTCGATCCCTCAGAGTTTATCGATCATCGATGTTCAGTATCTATCACATAAAAGCTCAAGAACCAGAAAGTGCCACTAATAGCGATTAACGTTTCCTCCAAATTTGTGTTTCCTTTGACGACATATACTTAAGTTGAAGGCATCCGGGTGGCACTGTTCCCAGAGACTCACGCATAACGCAGGAAGAGGTTCAGCGGATATCGACGAAGAGGGGGCTAAAGGGAGCAAGCAGGAGGAAGGAACTGGTAGAACTGAAGGATGGGAAAGAGGTGATGAAGCTGAATGACCCGAAGAAGCGAGGTTGAGTGACTGATTAGTGGTTCCGACGGCGTTTCGAAAGTCATTAGTTTCGTAAGTATAGTTTATGTTTTATTGTGGGAGGTGGCAGAGGTCGTCCTTCGCTGGATGGCTTGATCCAGCGCCCACCTACCCATTGGATTGGAGTTTACGCCAGCCAGGTATATCCCACCGCCTCAGCAGGGACAAGCTCTATAGTTCGATTTATTTAGTCATGCACTAGACGTAAATCCGCTGTTGCGGTTTCATCCAATCGTAAGATTATGTGTCGCTACAGTCACGACACTGTGGGGACGTTCAAGCTTCCGATTCGATGAAACCATGAACAGCTGATTTACGTCAAGAGTACGGTTAAATATATCCCAGTATAAGCTTCCAGCGTGCGCTCTCTCGGCGTGTGCGGTAGCGCATGTTAGTGAAAGGGGTGAGGGCAAGACAAAGGAAGCGAAAGTAAAGATCACGCGAGGTCCGATTACAAAATATGGCATACAAAAAAATAAGTTGTCAGCCCCAAATACTTGACTCACGTTTCCTATGTATGTCGACGCCTTGCACCCGAATCTGAAGCCAGAAATCTGCCACTACCCACCGTGACCCAATTGTTTTTAAATTTGCCGTGACCTTGCATTTTTTGACCGGCGAGACAAAAACAATATACCTGGTGCGAATTATTATTAGATCGGACGCCTGATGGGCGATGTGGTAATATATTAGTTAGGACATGACGTTGAAGGTAGGAGGGGAGTGAGCTAGCGTAATATTATCATTAGTATCAAAATAATAAAAAAATAACTTAAATGATACTAATATCATACAGCTTGTAGATTGAATGGAAACGGACGTGTGCATGCGAACGCGAATTAGATTAGGGAATAAATTGTGCCTCTTTCCTTCCTGAATCTTTTTATTTGCGAATATGAGGAAGTGATTCGCCAAGCGTCCGCCCCAGGCGAGTGATAGGGAGGTATCGCGCGCGTGTGTCTATTTGCGACAACTATCCGGATAACTGGCAGAGTCGCGGTTTGACATTTTGCTTTAGCAACTGATACCGCGTAACATCGCGTTGAGCAGCGCGAGCTAGGATACATCGACGCAGCGACAGGAGAAAGAAGACCCAGTAGACATTGGACACCGTCATCCAGACAAACAGACCGAGAAGGCCCTGAATGCGCGTGAAGACATGAAGTACCCAACGAACAATTAAATTCATTTGTGCAAGGAAGGATTATAATCAAGAGCGATGTTTACTATAGAATGAGCTTATGAGGTAATGTTAGTAACTGAATTGCATTAAATATTTTATTTGTTATAAAGAAGAGGCTAATAATGTGTATTGCAGTCAATCAAAAAATTTCTTAGTCAAACAGAAACTTTCAGAAATCGCTGATATGCCCGAACAGACCGTCTGCATGCATACGACCAGGTAAGCTACAGTCCGTCTTATGCAGATACCCTGAGGTAATACATTTTAAAAAAGGGGTATTGTTGAGATATTTATTTATAAAATAGACACATAAGTAGGGCATGGCAAGTGAAACTCTATAAATAGTGAATAAAAATCTTGGAATTGTCATCAAATAATCGCGCAGATATATGAGCAGATCCAATTATATGAATAAATAATAAAAAAGGAAATATTCCTTTCGTTTCAATGATGCCCATTGAGAGGCAGATAAACTTAACAATATTAAATAAATATTCATATTCTTTTTAGTATAACTGAGTAACTTCTTGCAAATAATTCAACACGTTATTTTTTTTTCGATTGTGTGTGTAATTGTCGAGAAAAACTCATATTTTAACGATTTTTTCTTATTTTTATTTTTGTAGTTTTTTGTTGCCATCTATCATGAAACGAAAAAATCGTTAGATCAGAAAGTTGTATATATTTTTCAAGGACATTACAAATATGCAATAATAAGCATGTGTCCTTATTTAACAGTTTTATTTTTCCCCATCCCTGGGGGATAGTGGTGGGTGGCGGCTTTGATTTCATTGGTTGGGGTCCGTCGATTCGAAGAACTTTCATTGCCCACTTTCTTTAATCACATTCGCACATTTCGAGATATTCCCGAAAGCAATTTTAAAATGAAATAACCATTTACTGAACAGGCAACCAGAAAATAGACTCCAGAAGTAGCAGAAACTGACTGAACCGACT